GCATCCTGCAACCTTCTCCATTACGGAGATGCCCTTTTCCCATGGCCCCGCTGCCTTTCTTAAGTGATGAAATCAGAAATTACTTGAAATGCTTTCCCTCCTCTACAGTGCGTGCATTTGTTAAGCATTACCCAGGCAATGAGCAAGTTCAAAGACTGTCACCACCAAAGGAGGCAAAACGGAGAGATGTTGTCACCACTGGGTTGCAGCGATCACACCAGCCGAGCAACAACATACGCAACAACGTATGCAACATCGCGGCTGTTAATAAAATAAACCTTTACTTCCTGCAAGTTCTCACTCACAAGCAGCTCCGAGGAGGAACACGTTTGTTACTGTGCAGCCACCGGGTGCCCCGAGCCCTGCCCTCTCAGCGGGGCCGAGTCCCTGTGCTCGCACCCAGCACGGCAGCCCAGCACAGTCACCTCCCCGGGCGCCCCGTGCCCCTCTCCGGCGGGCCCACGCTCCCGCCACGGCTGCATAATTTTTCCCCGCACTCTTGTCCTCCTCCCTCCGGAGCGCCGCCAAGTCCCAAAAAAAGCCCGTTTTGTCTCCCAAAAAAGCTGTGTGCTCCAGGTGAGGCTCGAACTCACAACCTCGGCATTGCTCGGCTTTGTACTGCTGTATAAGTACCGCGCGCTAACCGATTGCGCCACTGGAGCCCTGACACCAACTCCTCCCGAACGCTTTATCAAGGGCTCGCCCGGCCCCGGCGGGGGAAGGGCAGCGGATTCCCGCCCGCACTCCGCGCCGAGCGACGGCCAGGGGCCGTCCCGCTTCCCTGCCCAGGCCGCGCTACCCCGCTAGCGGCGTGGGAAGGCATGAGGGAGCTGCTGGACGCTGCACCGCTCGGGGAGGGCGGCGCCCGCGAGCAAGGGAGAGAGGCGAGCGGCGGCGGGGCCCGGACAAAGCCCGCCCGGCCCCCTCCGCCGCTGGGCGGGCGGGCAGGCGGCCGTGGGGGCTGTGAGAGGGCCCGGCCCCTTCGCCGCCGGGCGGGAGGGGCTGCGGGCGGGGCTGGCGGCCCTGGCTGGTGTCGGGCGGCAGCGGCGCGGCCTGAGCGCCTTCCGGCAGCGTGTGCCGCCGTTTCGTCCGCCGGGGACGAGACAGACGGAGCCCGGCCCCGGGTCGTGCGGGACCGATCTCCTGGCGGCCTTCGGTAAAAGGCATTGGCCGCTGGGTCAGCGATGTTCAGCCTCAGGCTCACGGCTGCCGCGGGGTGATGATGCACCCTCGGTCATGCTCAGGACCAGGCCGCAGCGAAAAGTGACCAGTTACTGCCAGGGAACTCAGTGTTGGTGTCTGTGGCATACGTGTGCATTGTAAAAGTATACCTCCGACATGGATTTATTCTGCAGTCAGATCTGTCCCACCTTATGTGGAAAGATGGTAAACATAATCGTCATCAGCAGATATTTAAACCCAAGTGTGACTCCACTGCCTCTCTTCCCCAATGATCCCCATGGTAAAAGAGCCGACAGTTTTTGAACGGAGAGGAGGTGCTTCTCACTTGCCAAAGCTTTTTCTCCTGTTGGTATTATTACTGTGCACATTACCTAAAATATATTTCAGTGGTATACACTATTGACAGGTGAAGCAGCATGCAATTGCTCTATGTGATGCTTTAAGGTGTCTGGCATTGTGACAATTGATAAAAGATTCGTGTTAATCACAAAAGCATTGAGGTTTGTATAAACCAGAATACTAAGCTCTGAAGTGAAGCATGGACACTAGATAAAAGAAGTTCTATGATTAAATAATCCTGTTTAAAATCACCTTGTTATGTTATATTATGTTGTATTATGTTACATTATAATATGTTATGTTTTTCAAATGAGTTGTATCGGCTACAAGCTTGCAAAATCGGACTTCCCAAAAAGCCCTTCCTGCCTTTGTCTGATCAATACTGCCTATCCCAAAAACCAGACTCCCAGAACTTCTCTGGTGGTTATCTACAAAGACCAGACCTCCAGAACTTCCCTGGTGGTCATCTACAAGGACCGGATGGCTCTCTGTGACTGATTATCACCCAAAGGCTTTGTGAATTTGTGAACAACGAGAACCCACAGTATAAGAAGGGGCTGCAAACCAAGGTTCGGTGGAGCGTGGAGTGCGCGGTGACCCCTCATGTTCCACAGCGCTGCTTGCTCTTTCTATGTCAAATAAAGCAATCTAAATCTTGCTGAATATCGAGACTTTTGTCTCTCATTTATAACAGCATGGAGAACTGGCAATTCATTTCTTGAGAGAAATTTTCCATCATCACATAGGTATACCTATGACATACCAGAAAGCTTCAGCAGACTTCATTACCTTAACATCATTATGGTAACAAAACAGTCTATACCACACAAAGATTGCTGTGGGTGGGGAAAAAAAGTAGTATGGAGAGTGTAGTGTAAAAAGTATATGACCTAGTGTCAATATTTAGCTTGTGTTTTTTGGTTGACATATCTTTCTTGCTGGACACAAGCTTGTAAATTTAAGTCTCTAATAGGTCTGGTGGTTGAGGAAAGTAGAAAAATAGAGTAAGTGTTGTCCAAAATGCTGCTTTTTCTAGTAACCCTTTTTTCCCTGTGCCCTCAATGCAAAAACTTAATTATTTTCATATAGCAGCTTTGTGCTTCAGTACTCTTGCACTTCTCTGGCAGCAAAATCAAGTCCATACCTTTGCCTAAAAGGAAAGATCAGGGCCAGAAGGGAGAACAAAAACCCCAGGTGCTGGAGCAGGTTTTGGTGGATGTGAAGAGCCATTGTAAAGCAGACTAGCAAGTAAAATCCAGGCCCCAAGTAATTCCTGAGGTGTATGAGATGAGCTTATTTACTTGGGTGTCACAGAGACTGCAGCACTGGTTCTTTTCTTTGCCTCTCCAATACACTTCATAGTGAAATAGTTTCATAGCCTTTCACTCCATGCAGTTTTCTGCATTTCTTAGCCCCACTATTATATGCATGAAGTGGCAATTGGCTTCACTTTTCAAAACCTACTGATTTTCAGAAGGTCGCAGAAAGTGCTCCCCTGTGATAATAGCCTCAGTCTTATATTAATGGTGCATTTTGTAAATGAACTTTGTTTCCTCCCTGAGTAGGTTTAACTGTCAGGTTTTCATACCTCATACCAGCCACAAAATGGATTTATGAGCCTGCAGCTTAGAAAGTTTTCTCTGCAGGTAATAGTACCTTGTATTCTGCCTGGTGGGAAAAACTAGAGACTAGGGATTAGAGCAGTGGTTGTGGACAAGAGGCCTGCAGTTAAAACTGGTACTTGAATACCATGATGAACAAGGATTGGCTCAATCAACTCCAGGATCTGTGATTTTTCCTTCTGTGACTCTGGAGATTCTCTTGGCTTTCATGCCAAACAAATGGAGTCCTGCTCTGCAATACAAGTTACCCATGATGAGGCAGAGCTTTACAAAACCACGATCATTAACTAGAGTGTCTGCACTTCTCCAGTCCTCCCAATCTGGGTCATAATCCCCTAAGTGAAAGTGCATTTTAAATAGAAACTCTCCTTCACAGCTAAGAACAGAACTACCAGCAGCCTTCTGAACAAAAAGTACCAAAATATACCTGTCTGTAAGTTCAAAAATAGGCTTCATAAGTTTGCTGTGTAGTGGTGGATCACCACAGCCATTCTGTTGCTAGAAATTTCATGTGCTAAATAAATGATGTGGTAGTGGTGTTTTATAATTGAATGAAATAATAACTACTTTGGGTTTATTTCAGAAGAAATTGCAGCTAGTCCCATCGTAATTGTATTAATACAGTGGAACTGTAATCCACATGGATTTTGTTATCCTAAAATGAATGGATTTTTTCCTGTTTTATAAATTACATAATGAGTTTAAACTGAGTTGCAAAGAAGTGATAGAGATGAAGGTAAAACAGAGTCACTCTTACAAATGCTTGATAAAAGCACGGTATTCGTTTAAAGTCACACTCCATTGCTTTCTTCTGGTGGAAAATTACAACAATTAAAGAACTCCCAATTTTGTACTGCTTATCATGCTGAACTTTTAGGCCTGTAGTTGCACTGCTCATACGTGCAAACCATGGAGAATATACCACTCACTTTTAACTAGATCACCTTATACCCATACACATTCACCCACCAAGCACAGTGTAGAGAAAAGTGGAAGACTGAGATAACGTCAAGAGCAAAGTGCTAAGATATTGTAATGTCTTGGGATTTTTGTGTTTACCCACTCATTTCATGTGTTTGAAGTCTGAAAAAATGTGTGCGTATATATATACATATATATGTATATATATATATAGATATATATACATATATAAATATATCTTTATTTTAAAGAATTGAGGGGTGGCAGGGAACAGAGTGAGCAGTCCTATAGCAACTGTGTAAATCTTGAACAGAAACTTGTGAGGGAATAAAGACTAGTAAAGATCTGGAAAGTCTGATTCTTCTCAGTTTCTTGTTTACCCGACAATTGGATGGCAATATACTGCACTTTACCAAAGGGCATCACAGAATCAGGGTCAGCTCTCCACAACCCCTGCTGTAACATTGGCAGAGCGGATCCAATTAAGATTGAACATTTATGGGCAGCTGCTCTTGGTCTTACAAATGCAGGAGACATCTGTATTTTGTCTATTTGACAGAAGAGGATCCCAGTATTTTCAAAAAAAATACACATACCAGAAACATTCAGCCTTAGAATGTTGAAGGGAGGTTTCTGTATTAGACTTAAAAGGAGTGAATGCCCCAGCCTTGCCCATTTTTTTCTGACTGTGTAACAAGGCCATTTTTGTAGAGAAGTAATGTACACAATCCAGTTGATGCAGTAAAGAGAATGAAGAAACCCCCTGTGGGCAAAACCCAGTTTCCAATAAAAATATATATTTTAAAAACACTGGTCAATTATTAGCCAAGCTGCTGGAGCATTAGTACTCTGTAAGAAGTAACCTTTGGCTGATGGACCTGTGCCCATTGACACTGAAGCCTGAAGACACCTCTCCTACCAGCCAATCCCCTGAGCACTGGGGTTGGAATCACAGGCAGTCTGCTCACAGAAAAGCACTCTGCAAATTCTAATACCTCAGGCAAAAGTTTCATAGGTGGTGGACCATGGAGCTTCTTGTGAATGTAAGAAAATGGATAGAAGAAAACAAAACTGCCTTTTTGCCACCTGTTTGCAATAAGCTTATGTAAGTAAACAAAGATTTTTTTTAACCAAGTTATTAGATATACAGATATTTCTAGCTATAAGTGGAAGCTACAACAATGCATACATGTAAAGATTAATAAGGAAACCATGGTTCCTCTCAGGCTGCAGCCAGAGTGCTATTCCAAAGAACAGAAAGCAAGTGAAATCTGATTTCCAATAACTCAGCAGAAATTGCAAAGATCAACTTAAATACAAGGCACTTGCCTCAACTCAAAGCTGCTTGTAGGAAGGGAGACTGAGTGAAGAGAATTTGCCAGGCTCTGTGATAACAAATTCCTAGAAATCAGAGGAGATGACATCACATCCAAAACCAAATTACAACCTGAAGTAGCTAAAGATGCTGAGAATCATTCCAACATCACAGAGGAGCTGGAGGAGCAATCAAAATCAGTATATATCACTGAAAAACAAGGAAACAGGAAGGGTACTGGTACCAGAGGATCTGATTTCCAAGGCATTTCCAGATCTGTCAAGGCAGGAGGGTAGGGAGCCTGAAGGGACAGTTTACAGCAGCTTACAGTATCCTGAATGAGACAGCTGATTAAGGAAAAAAAATGTGGACATTATGCAGTTGTTTGTACACACCATGCGTATTCTCCGTGTCAAAACTTGTGAAGAAATTCCAATGGAAATTATCCAATGTGTGTCAAAATATTAATGAGGATTTCTTTTGTCAGTTAAGCTGAGGAGAAAATATTTTGTCTAAAACTCTGTATGCAGAAAGCTTTCATTAGAAAGTATTCTCTATAAGGAGTGATATAGTTCCAGGTTTTATAAAGAAATTAAAAAGCATTTTCTTAACTTTAATTTATAAAAACTTTCTTTACAATTTTAATCATTAAAAAAAAAAAATTTAAAAATGCCTCTTGCCCTACCCTTAAGGGCTATCTCTAATGAAAAGCTGAATGGGCAGTAATGTATCAGTGATATTAATTTCCGTTCACAGGTGCAAGGGTTACTTTTCAAAGCAATTGTTACAAGACAAAGGAAAGGTAAAAGGTACATCCTTTACTGCCATGTCAATGTTGAAACTACAGCTGTATGTAGAACTGAAAAATTATGAAACTTGAATCACTACAAGTGCTCCCATTTCTTTCGCTTTCAAAATGGATTTAGGAGGCATTTTATGAAGCATATCCATTTCTGAAGCTTAGCAATGATAATGGGAAAATTTTAGTATTCTACATATATGGAATATTTATGTCTTTCTCTCCTTATCAATACAATGAACATTTTTTGGTTTTACTACACTATTCTGTACTGCTTACTAATAGTTCTGTGTAAACCTTGAGTAAATCTGGAATGTGACATCTATCATAGATCTTTGCCCATAAAGATTTTAAGAAGTTACAGTGAAACAGTAAATATTGTTTTGTGATAAAAATTGTATAGCTTAAAACAAAATCCGTTTTCCAGCATGGCTTTAGCTTATGTAGGAGGGGAGTAAAATAATCTACTGCATGGATTCTACCACCACCTGTACCTGGTGCTACCTAAATGCTTTCAGGATTTTTCCAAAAGGTTTTAGGTGATTTTCCAAGAAGCAACTAATAGATTTTCAACGTTTTTTCAAAGGCTCGATCCTTTATGTGCTGAGTAGAGATGTATAAGGCAATCTTCTCCCTGTGTCCGACTGCCTCATTGAAATGCAACCACCTCAAAATTTAAGTAACTTAAAAACTTTGTTTCAAGGGAGAATTAACAGTTAAAACTAGGTCTCACAGCAAATCAGTCGGGCTTTTGGCATCTAAAGTTATTACAGCTGTCAGGCTTTTATGACACTGTATTCCATACATTTGAGAGCATCACAATTTTTAAACACCTGTTTGGGATTGCAACACACAACCCAAATTCCTGAATTACTGCCTCTTCAGAGTTTTACCAAATTCAAGAAAACAATACATCTAATTAAATTGCAGCAGTGTGCAATTAGTCCAAAATCAAACCCCTTGACACAGCTGATTTTTACAGGTACTTCTAAAGCTCTTCTTAGTTCAGAATATGATGCTTACCAAAAGGACAACCAAGTGTGGTCATGGACCATCTGATTCTTTGTGGTCTTATAATGTTTTTAAAGGGTTACCTGATGGTACCATTTTATTTATGTGGATAGGAAGAGAAATGTAAGAGTATAGAAAACTTAATAGTCTATTAGTTAGCTCCTCATTCTAACAATAGTACAGTCAAGTAATTTTCTCATCCCTGAAACCTTTACTCTTAATTGCATTTTGGCAGTCTTAACTGAAACTGCTTTTCTTTGTTATGATATTTCTCCTTAACTTAAAGCAGATGGACAAACTTACTTGGTGGAGTTCCTGCTCATATTTCATAGCTGGAATTTTTTGATGATGTCAGTATGTATTTGTTAATGATTGAATGATTAACCCATAGCCTGTTTATTGTATAAAGCCCAGGTAAATGTATGGGATAACAGAATTAATCGTAGATTTGCCAAATTAAGAACTCAAGCAGTAATTGTTTTAAAGCAGTATTTTCACTTTTACTTAGTGAACTAATAACAAAACCGAATGTTTATTTTAAAAAAATGACCCATCTTAACAGTAGACTATAAGATACCCACCGATTGCCTTTCTCTTATTTTATTCTGCAGGGTTGGTTTTCATTTATTTCATTCATTATTATCTGTATTGCTGCTGTTTGAGTCATCCTGCCCTTCTTTAGTAGAAGTGTTCGTTAATGCAGAAGCGTTGCAGTGTGCTGTTGAAAATGAATATTAAATCTACATGGTACAAACTATTTGGATTTCAGTTCCTTATTTTATGATGCAGATATGAAGCCCAGTGCTGTAAAATATACAGCTTCCTATGGAGAGAACAGTCAATTGTAAATTTTTAGTTTTATTTGACCAACTAATATGTCACTTGTTTGTTACTTGTTACGTCTGCTTTACTAGTCCTCCCTGTGTTGGTCATTATCATTTAAATACTCTTCACAGAAACAGTGGCAAAGGTAGCAGATTGAATATGTGTATGCAACCACTCAGAACAGCCTCTCCCAATTAAGGTGCTGACACAGGGACACATTTTTGTTGTTGCCTGTGTTTCAGGGGATCATGGCCTGCTGGTTCCCAGAACTGCCCAGAACCTCCTTATTGCAGAGGTTAAACACACCTCAATTCATTTGTCAAACAGCAGAAGAACAAATTTTGATTCACACCTAACAGGCCTGATTTTGAGGGCTTTTTTAGCAAAGGAAAACCTATTACCTTACCTTTTTATTAGTGTGAATGGACTGATAGGTAATTGGGGTGATAGGCATTCCTTGTGATAGCTGAGAGGAATGCTCGTTGGGGCTCTTACGAGGGGTAGAGTTAAGAAATGGCCAGGAATCTCCTTTTCTGAAATACCCACAACCACAATAAAACCATTGTAATGTTGTTCCAGCTTAGCAAAACCAGTAGAAGCAGAACAGAAATTAGCTGGTAGTTCCTACCATCAGTATCTCTGGTAATTCTACCAATGGAGGGACTGGGGAAGTATGTCTTTACCTTTATTAACTTTTAAGAGTTTCACCTTTACGTAATCAGCTCAGGTTGAAAAGCCTTTTTTCCAGTTCTTGTCTCTTAGTCTCTTAGGCAACATTCTTTATCTTTTCAGTTCAAAGCTCTTTTCACAGCTGGCAGCTATTGTCCCCTTTTCATAGCTGGAGGCATTGAAACACCAGGAGGGAGGTAGTTGGCCTCAGGTCACCCAACAGGACAGTGTCAGAGCAGAGAGATGCATCCAACGTCCTATGAGTTCTTGTATTGGCTGTTGCTTTTCACTCAACATTGTTTCATTGACTCACTGTCCTAAAAGAATTTAAAAAAAATAAATGAAATAAAGAACATAATGAATAGAAGTAGCTTCAAAATGCCATTTTCTTTTCTAGGCATCGCTATCAATTAAATGTGATGTTTGTTGGAGGACCAAATGAAAGGAAGGATTATCATATTGAAGAAGGAGAAGAGGTAACCTATAAGTTGTTTATATTATTCTGATTTAATTTATCTATAATGATTAAATGCAGCTACTTTTGAAGGTACATATTAGCAATGCTCAGCTCAGAAATGTTCTATTTATTAGATCTATTCATAGGTTTAAACAGAATCATTCACCAGAACCATACATTATCTGTGCATTTTGTTTGAAACAAGCACATGAGATCAGATCTGTTCTGCTGTAATTCATTTCCAACAGGAAACTAGAGAAAGTGTTCTGACACAAAGTGTCTCATTTCAACGTTTTAGATAATATTTTTTAAGCAATATTTTGTTGCAGAAGATTGATCTGTATTTCAAAAGTAACTTTGATATTCAAAAACCAATAATATATTAATTCACTAGAAATTACTTTTTTTGTAGACTTCATGAATATCATCAGCTTTTCAACTTTCATTTGTGTTCGGAAAGTTAAAGAGTAGAGTCTTTAAATATTTTTCAAATCATTCTCCTGTGCTCAAACCCATTCCAAATTTGAGTTGTGAGTAGCCATTCCACCAAATGCATCATGGAGGAAGGAGTAGAAAACTAACAAAATTGTAACAATTTACACCTTCTATGTTTGCTGCTTTTTTCTTGGAATTGCTTGCATGGCCTGGGGACTTCTCCACCACTAGCTCTGAAAGAATCCTAAGGGAAGGTGGTTACTAGAGGCCTGGAAGTAAGGGTGTCAGAATGGAGACAATTTGCTTTCCTTCCCAGCAGAATAATTTAACTTCATGTCATTCCGATGACATTTGGCAACCTAATTTTGGAAACTCAAGCCTAAGCATCTACATAGTTTAAGGCAGAAGTGGGTCAAGTTTCAATGAATCTCCTGAAGAGAAAGAAAAATTCATTTACTTATCATTGAACCATTTCTCCCCAAACATTTCACGAGAGCCTTCACTGATTTCCTGTTCTAACTGTGCTGTGCAGGTGAGTGTAGTCCTTACAGACACACAGCTCTGGAAGAACAGATGCTGAGTTATCCCCGGGTGACTCCCACTTGTGTTGGATTGTCACCACCATCTCCCAGCCCACCTGTGGCCGTGGGCACAGGCACATCCATCATGTGCCAGGTTACCAACATATTTCACTGTGTCCTTTCTCATGGGCTGTGCAGGAAGAGCTCTGGCAGCACCTGGGACCAGGCCACCAGGCTGCTTGGGATTCCTTAAAAGAAAAGTTAGGTTGATTTAATTTAACTTTTTTTTTTTCATGTTGCAAGATGTTCCTGTATTTGTAAATAGCTTGGCCTACCCTTTTATAAATTCTTTATATGATTTCTCAATAATATAAAAAGCTAACTATATCTGTAAAGTCATATTTTTTAATTTACTGTTGCATACTGATGTTATTGCTAACTCAAGTAGAAACAAGGTTTTTTAGGTATCAGTACATTCTCATTTACATTGTAAGCTTCCCACAATTACTCAGAAACCAGAAATGGAAACATAACAACCCTATCACATAGGAAAATTGGCAATACACACATAAGAATTAACAGTTATGTACCAGTTTAACATATGGGCCAATTTCATTCAGTTTTATAAGTACATTATAGTTATTCATTGGATTTTACCATAGCTTTTTATCAGACACATTTGCACCTTCCTGTGATCTAACTTAGAACCATGTTTCTCATTAGAGAAGAATTATGAGGTGGAGAATATCCTAGCAAAAGGGCATATTCCTAAATTAGACTTGGGATTGAAAAAACACCATTCAAAGCCATGTTCAGCTCATTATTTTGTCAGAAAAGGGGTAATTTATAGCTCTGGGTGATAATTTGAAGACAGACTATATAGACATACTGTCAGCAGGCCAAATCACGAATGTGAAAACCCACAAATCCTTCAGGCAAATTTAGCTGATGCTGTTCTACTCTGAGCATTCCAATAGCAAAGAAAGGTTGGTTTGGAGAGAAAGTTGAATTCAGGAATGTCTGTCTGTCCACTCACTGTCTTGTGCCTGTTTATGGAGTGTCCTGTGTCACAACTTGCACTTGAAAGCTTGCAGTTCACAGCAGCAAAGGATTGGCATCCAGAGATAAGGGCTGAGGAGCATCCTCCTGCTCCCAAGCTGCTCTCTGCTGGTGCCATTAACGTGCAGGTGTATCAGGAAGATTAGTTCTGACTGGCTAATTAGGAGAAAAAAAACTGGAGGCTTGATTTGAACTCTCTTCAAAGCCTTTTAGAATTGTCTCCTGAACAGCTATTTAGGCTAAAATGACAGCTAGTCTAGCACAATTTCTTTCCTCCTCTCAACAAGCAGGCATTTCCTAAATAACTCTTATATTTTGTTCCTTCTTAGTTTTCTCTGTAGTGCTTCACTGCCTTCTTAAATTTCTGTTTCACTACTTCTTTGCCACCTTTCTGCACAGAAAGAGTTTCATACCAGAGACATTGTTTTTCCATTGGACAGATTTTTTAAAGAGAAAAATCAAGCAGACAAACCTTTCACAGTCTTTGGCTGGAATTTACTGGGAGGTAATATTTATTCTTATTTGTAAAGTTCCCTTTTGTTCCCTCTCCATCAGAATGGAGGTAGAGTCAGCAAACATCTACTCAACATTCTCTGCCTCTAAATCAGACTCATTCGAAATGAAAAAAATGAAATTGCTTTGGGAAATGCATCTTCTGTTGGAACATGGCAAAAGCATGCTGTGAGAATGGACCTATATAACTAATACTGAGAACTTTCTAGGAAGTGTTTGTGCTACATAATGAGTTCTGAGGGTTTCAAATGAATTGTTATTCTGATGTGCCTCATTTGTCAAGACAGCTTTGGGTTCCATGGACTAATGGCTACAATTCTTGTGCAGTCAACTTGATGAGGCCACTGAAAGTTTCTGTAGCAGTCCTGACAAGATCACAGAATCACAGAATCGCTAAGGTTGGAAAACACTTCCAAAATCATTGAGTCCAACCTTTGGCTGAACATCACCTTGTCATTTTGACCACTGAGTATCATGTCCAGTTGTTTCTAAACACCTCCAGGAATGATGACACCACCACCTCACTGCACAGCCATTTCAATGCCTGACAACACTTTTCAGGAAGAAATTCTTTCTGCTGTCCAACCCAAGCCTCCCCTGGCACAGCTTGAGGCTATGTTCTCTTGTGCTCAACCCCTCACACCTATGGTGTAGCACCAGGTACCAGGTGTTGGATCTTAGAAATCTGAGGTTTTTGAGCTTTTTGTGCTTTCAGACACAGATTTTTTTGGAAAACACTGCTCTGGACTTGAAACCTTGGAGAAGGCTTGTAAATATGAATAATGAGTTAGAAATTACAAATGTGTAGTGGGTTAGATGTGTGTATTTTCACTGGGTGATGGGTTTTAAATTAGAAGTTTTTATAGTATAGTAGTAGATATAAGACAAGATGGAAAATTTTAGGTGGTGTTTCTTCCTTTGTTTATTTTTTCTCCTTCCATCTTTTTTACGGAACTTAGGTAGTAGCTTTTGGTTGGTTAGTTAAATGTCACTCTAAGAGTCACTCTAAGATGTGAACAGTCCTCATCATATCTTTGTCTTGGATTTTTCATCATACCATAGCATTTGTGATAAGAAGAGTTTCAATGTTAGCATAGCCTACAGGCTTCATGGTGTATTTATTGCATTTTTACTTAGTTGTAAAGCCTGAGGGTAGGGAAAAAAACCTTCTTCCAAAGCAATAAGTGAAAACTCAAAGGGGCCATATATTTTGGAGAAAGTTAATGACAGAGAAACCTCATGATCATAACAAAGCCTAGCTCTAGTAAAAGAATTTCAGAATTTATTTACTACATTGTGTGGGATGCTTTGGGAGAAAGTGAGATATGCTACCAGCTAAATGTGGGATCACAAAAGTAATTAGGCTGGTATCTCTTTACCCACCTTAGTCCACCACTTACATGCAATCAATCTCAACTGACTTTAATTTAGCTGACTTTTATTTCTTAACAATTTACATTTTGATGTTGAATCTATATAAAACATTGCAGTTCTGTGCAGACATATTCAAATCAGCCTTTCATCTACCACCTGCAACACATTTGCATTGGCACAAACCCCACTTGAATTTAGAAGTCCCACTTCTCATTGTGCTGTATTCTATCCCAAGTTTCTGCTCTCAGCATCTAGGTTGTTTCCTATGGATAGAGCCACCTAATTGTTGGCACAGCCCCACAGACCACAGCCCTCAATACTGCAGTCCTAAAGAGAATCTCAGAGAAGGAGTTCCCCCTCCTTTGATCATCTTGGTGAATCTCTTCAGCTTCTTCTAGCACATTCACATGGTCTGACTGAGCTATAACTTCATGCTTTGAAACACGATACAGGTTTGAGGTCACATCTGCCACAACTCATCTGAGTTTTCTGATCTGAGTTTTGATTTTCTCTTTCTCTCCCTCTCACACAGACATCACAAGTAAGACTTGGCTCCAGTTTCTGACAGATTATCTGCTTAAATTAAGCCTGACCCCTTCTAGTGTATGCTGCTCTCCAGTCAGCATGCTTTTGAGAAACTCTCCCCTATCAGATCAATTTTCACTTTGCATTTTATAAGGATAGTGGATGTCTGAAAACAAGGGGAAACTGGGGCTAGGTGAGCATTCCCATAGGTTGTTTTGTGGTGCTTATATCCCAAACAAATCTGAGAACCTGAATCACAATGAAGCAAGGGAAACATTTTTGCTTCTTTACATTTAAAAACCCCCACTCTTTGAGTGTATTTGAATATTTGAGTATTTGAATAAGAAACGAAACTATTAAAATGTAATAAATATTATGATCTTTTTGCATCAGAAGGAGATTGTGTCTTCAGAAATAATTTTGCTTCATAAGGTTGTTGGGATAAGTTTTGGCTGGTATTCAGGTTTCACAGATGACATGTAAATGAGAAGAGGGAAATAATAAAACAAACCACACCAAAACCCCTCAACATAGTTTTCTTTACCTTCCTCATCTATTTGTCTTGTAGACTTATGATGGCTGAAAAACCCTTGTGATGAAAAAGGGAGAAAATTGTTTTTCTGTACTCAAATAGATCAGTCACCACTGATGTCTAGAGAACACTCAGGCTCTACTCCCACATCAGAATTTGATTTGCTCTGCAAATTAATTTAGTACATAACCATATGACAAGCAATACAAGCCAGGATATACCAAGCCAGAGCCTAATCCCAGAAGTGGCTGAGCAATCCCAAATTCCATTTTTAGATGCAGTCAGAACTCAAAGTATCCTGCTAATTGCAGGTCTCTTTAGAGGTCTGTAAATAAGCTGTCAGCTATCAAAGCCCTCATGGAGCTCTGGATTCCTGTGTCTAGGCAGAGATTGATATCAAAGGTGGATCCAAATTAAATTACATACACAGCTGTACATAACATAAAATAGACTTGTGGGTTTTTTAGTTAGTCAATACAGACCAATTACAAATCCTTTATTCTTCCACTACTAGATGCTTCTTTGTTTACTCTGCTAGGATACACATACCTGGATAAAGGAGCAATTCTCACCTCACAATAATAGAGTGAGGATGTTAATGCTCTTTTTAAGGTGATATCCACATGTTCTGCTACCCTGTTGAAAGTTCTGTCAAAGACAAGCAGCTTCAGCAATGCTTCCACTGATGGCAACAGTGAATTCCTACCTCTGTGCATCTCCTCCTCTTGCCTCCAGCATAATTTATTCTATGAGTATTCATAATTGAATGAAATATCCCTGTACAGACTTGAGAGTGATTCAGCACTGGCCATGCTGCCTTCCCCTGCAGGTTTGAAGCATGATCAAAAAGCGTGAAGCAGACTAAGGAAGGAGGATGTATTTCCCTTACAGCAAAGAAAATTTAAGGAAAATTAAATTAATAAAAAAAAAAAACCTCTCAGACTTAAGGTGTTTTTATTTGAGTTTCGTAAGTACGTCTGCAGTTTTAATGATCATATTGAGCAATGTTATGAAATAATGTTATGCTCAGGGCAAAGAAGGTGGCTCATAACTTCTAGAGGTAAGGTGAGCATTAATAAAGGAGATATTTTTAGTATAATCATAATGAGAAGATACCACATAGTAAGTAGAAAACTAAACAAAATGCTGAAGTCTGCAAAAGGAGAAGAAAGGAAGAAGATATAATAATAAATAAATAAGCACATTTAGCAACAAAGGAAAAAAAAATGGTGAACAACCTTGTTTCTTTCTTGAGACACGTTTTTCACCCAGAAAGACAAAATTCATACCCAAATGTGAGCCATTATGCAGTAGCAATAAACAAATCTAGGCTTTTCTACAAGAAGAGATATACATTTCACATAACGAGAGGCCTTGCCATTAATAAGGTGTTAATAGAGCAGAAATATTGCATATTTCCTCAGTTTTAGTACTGCTGGGGAGAATGGATACTAGATTATTCCAGTAAGGACAGTACAGCTGGGAAAGCTTATATTTTTAAGTGGTATGAACTATTGGCTTGCTATTCTATCTATACAGGCATAGATATTTGTATATATATACATATACACCTGAATTTTCTAACTCAGGCCTTGATTTTTCTTTTCCAAGAGAGACTTAGAAAAATGTTAGATTTGCCCAAAAGGCAAAACTCAGCCAGTATTTAGAAAAAATAGTTTTCCAACAAAAAGGCAGTACTGTGTTGCCAATCTGGCCTCTGAAACGGGCATGGACAGTAACTTACTGAGATATTAAATTGCTGACAGTTTCCTTGGTAAAAAATTCAGGTTATATTATAAGCAAGGCAGTAGATTCAGTAATTGCTGCCACTTGTATTAATCACAGTTACAGAAGATGATTTATGGATGACTGAAGCGCTCAGGCAATTTAAAAGAAAAAAGTTTTCAAGAATAGACCATAATTTACAGTGAAAGGTACTATTTAAATTCAGTCATAAAAACACTTTCATTGGCAATGTGTAGCCCACGTCATTCCTCCTCTCCCACTGCAAAACAATTATTTTTATTCATAACTTGCTGTTTATAATCTTTCCTTATGACTGTGATGCTTCACCTCTGAGCTGGATAGCTGACATCCACTCTCAAGGTTTTCATTTCCAGAAAGGTTGGATAAACTCTGCCTCTGTTGTCCCTTCCCTCATCTACATGTCCTGTACATGTGTTCAGTAATAGCTGCCCCAGTAGCTGCAGGGGAAATAACACTCCAAAGCTCAAGATTTCCAAGATGATACTTTAAGTTTCAGCGTTATTAGTGCCACATGACCCACAGCTGGTGTGACAATCCATCTATTTAATAGAGTCTTAGATGAATCTTCTAGGAACTGAAGGAGGAGAGGTCATTTCCCCACTCAGATTGCTCTCTGTCCTGCAGGGAGCAGTTGGCCCTGCCCAATGGAAGGAAGGATGCTGTAGCATTGGGTACTGCCCTTCAGAAATACCAAAGAAAGCCAGAAAAAAGAACACAGGGAAGTGGACTGCCATGAGGATTAGTAGCCTGGCATTGTGGCCTTCTATATAAGAGTGATAATTTATCTGTAGTGTTGGCCTGGGCACAAGGTGAACTTTTCACTCATGTAAAAGCTCTCAGCATGAGCTTTTATTCCACGTGTATCTTCAGTTCTCCCTATTGTCTTGCTCTCTTGGCAGCATATTTATTCTTTCTCATGTTCATAGAGATGTTTCTTCAATTCTAGGGGGCATGCATTAATATTTCAAAACTCTTTTGGAAATAATAACGATTTAAAAATTGATTAGGGGTTTCTAATGTTGGAAAGGGTTCAGTTCGGGGAGTTTGCATGCTTCAGTGGTTTCTTCTTTCCCCTATTTATATTTCATTTTGATGAAATTTTGTAGTGACTTGCTATAAATAAGGGATTTTTTCAGTTATAGTTCTAACTTTGAATCATGTTTCAGACTACGTCAGCTGCACTAGCACTCTGGTTTCTAGATGTGGTAAAGAGAACATGGAAAGCATGGCAGAAGTGACTTTTAGAAATATTATTGTTCTGCACTACATAAAAATGAGGGGAAATGTGCCCATTATTTCCAAATGGGCAATTCTTCCCAAATGAGAAAGTGCCATTAAAAAATTGAAAAAGTAGGCCAAAAAAAATTGTGTGTGCATATTTGGAACTTATTTGGAAAAGTGACATTTAATTTGATTGATTAAAGACCCTGCTACATCTGAAATGAAGCTTTGTATATTGTGTAATTAATGGATTCTTGAAATGTAATGTTGTGCCCTTCAAAAAGTAATTCCAAGGGTAAAACCAGGATAGTGAAATTCCACTAGATCCAGAGGATAGCTTTATATGCAGTTACAGACCTCTTGGATAGATTGTTAATTCTTAGCAAGATAATAGAAATAATACATATTCTGTAATATTTTTAAATCAACAGATTTTAGAAGCCTACTATCATTAGAAAAAAAATCTGCAAGTACTTGCAACTGCAAATTGAATGTATTTATATGTGTATTCTTTGTATAGACAGTATAAAGTACAGAATGTTTTGGAGTAGCTGCCTTAATGCTATTTTCTTATTTCTTCAGCTTTTTTACCAGGTTCAAGGAGATATGTGTTTGAAGATAATTGAAAATGGGAGACAAAAAGACGTTGTCATCCGAGAAGGGGAGGTAAAACAGGATTGTTTTTCTGTTACAGTTATAACATACTTATATTAAATGATTGTTTTATGTGTTATTTAGAAACCAATTTACCCCTGCTGTGCAAGAGATGGCATCAAGATTTATTAGGGAAAAAAAAAAAAGCTTGAATAGAGTATTAAAAATTTAAAGTAAATAGTAGGAAACTACCACAAACTGTGTTCAACTTTGACTGTTTCAGTAACAGAAAAAAAATACCTCTGAACATCTGAGGTACCTCTTCAGATAGTCAGGAATACTGAGAGGAGTTCTTATTCCCCTGCATTGCGTGGGATCTGCCACGTGAATTCAGTCAGATCAGTCTTTTATTTACACCTTGCCAGGTACACACCACTCACCCACCCACCCACACCATTGAGCAAACTGCCTAAACCGAGGAACTTAAATGATTCATGTATTTTCAGCCTTCTTTAGTCCTCACAGCTAGCCTTACCAACCATCACAGTAGGACAGCTTTAAAAGAGCAGTTTATGAATAAAATGTATCCAATTTTTCTTTAGAGTAGTACACTTGCTAAAGCATAGATTGCAGTGCTTTTGCTGAGAGCATGAATAGATACTGGCTGTTACTGTGAGTTAGATGTACTATAACTGCCACTCATGGTTATTGACACAAGCCTGGACTGCACTCAAGTCTTTGAAAGGATTATTAGGTCTAGTGGAGACTTCCTTTAAAATGGGAGACATGTTAAACCCAATAGCTTAATGCCATTAAAAGCATTTTAACTTTTACAGTGATGAAACAGAACCACATTTTCCAGCTTTGAGGTCCTGGTATTACACTTCACACTGAAGGAGCACATCCAGCTGAGATCTCAGCATGTAAGAGAAGCACTAATGAAAAGGAGCACATAATACTTGGTGAAAAGGCTGACACTAGTACTGCTGAGGCACCATCATTAGCTCTGTTTTGTAATGACTGCCCAGCCTTAGCAAAAACATCTGTACTGGTGAATACAGGCTTACCAACTTGCTGCACAAGGTGGCTGCTAGGAAGGGGTTTATTGTCAAGCTTCAGAAATAGACTTCTCTTAACCATGTGTTGCTTTTTCACTTTGTCACTTGCATGAGTAAATATCCCCTCATATTTGTTAATTATTTCCAGAGAGAATAGCACTCCTCATCAGGCAATCAAAGGTGCTCACTGTGTTGGGAGGATACATGTGGCTGATTAGTTTAGACATTTTATTGAGCAGAAAAAATCCCTGCTTTTTATTTCCATTTCAATTACTCAGAAATTGCAGTAAGTTTATACATTTCAGATGAGTAATTGGTTAGATTTTCATTTTAATTGTGTCTAGCAATGATGATCAAACCAGGAGGAGTGAAGTTGACTGCCATCAAGGCAGTGCTGATTGCAGTCACTGTGTCATCATTCACAGAGAAAGCAAGAAATGTGTTTGCAGGGCTGTGGGTACCACAGTGGGAGTGGCTGCAAAGGAGCAACACAGGATCAACAAAAAGTAGGGGAGAAGTGGGACAAGGAGCAGAAGATTTTGCAGGTTGAAGGGCAGGAAAAGGACAATGCAAAAAACAAAGACTTCCTGACACTGATGCTTTCTGATTTCTTTTAATAGATGTTCCTGCTACCTGCCAGGATACCTCACTCTCCTCAGAGATATGAAAACACTGTGGGTCTTGTGGTTGAGAGGGAAAGATTAAAAACAGAAATTGATGGGCTAAGGTGAAGTATAAACTATTGACTAATCCATTAGAATTCATAATCTAAACTAATCTCTCATATCAATACAATGCTGTGGTTTAATTTCCTGATCATTTAATAGGTTCATCCTGGCAATTTTGTACTAATTCTATCCACCCATCTATTTATCCATACACACATAAACAGAGATCTCATTTAGCATTTGCTTTATTTAAACAAGGACCATATTGAAATTTTTAAGTACATGTTGTGGTTATAGCAATCTACTTGTGTACTACCTACTGCTATTGCCATAAGTTTTGAAAAATAACTCTAATAACTCAGAGCACTCTAATAATCCAAATAGAGATTTTTTTTATAAGCTCTAACAAGCAGAATATTAATTCCTTTGTAAGCACTGAAAGAAAAAAGATGAAGAACAGCTTTCTTGTCAAGTGTGTAGGAAGCTGGAAACAAGTTCAGTTTTCTCACCACTAGTCCCTCTACACTGTACACACCTCTGCCTAGTTTTTATTGCCTTTTGAGAAAAACATCTTCATGTAAGTGAGTGGTTTGCTTTGTATTCTAGAGGGAGCAGGACTAAGCTTTTTCTTATGTCCATACAGAATTCACAAGGTCACAACAGCATAACATTAGCCAATCTAGAAAAGCTGTCTAGGTATTAACCAGAGATGACAGACCAAGCAGAATTTATAGCTGTTCATATCATCTGTACAGATTTAAAACTGCAGTGATATCTGTATTGTTCCTGTCCTTTCACCTACAGTTTTGATTGTTGCATGGGTAGTGTCACAGCAGGAAGATTGCAAGTATGCAGAGTAGAAAGACATACTTTTTCATTCAAAGGGAAAAGGGCTACAGAAAGAAACTAAGAAAGGGACCATTCAAGAAAAGAAATCCACATGATTAAATTCCAAACTTAAGTCTAATTCACTTAAAGTATTATTTACTTTACACTTCTCTTTTTTCTGTTCACTGCAGATCTGTAGATTGAGTGGACCTACATTATTTAAAAGATATTTTGAGCAAGAAAAAAATGGCCAGTGATTTAGATAAAAATGTTTATTTTTAATGTATAAAAAGCCTTAAATAGTAAAGTAAAATTTACTTAAAGTAAAACAACCTACCATGTAAATTCTGTGAATGGTATGAGAGAGAAATGCTGAATGCCTTTTTAGGAATCTAGGCTGATCTAGGGATTTGCACTCCAATATAGGCATGCTAGTGTGGAGAAGCTAAACTGAAAGCTATGGCTTATGGCTTATGCAAGCCTTATGGCTTATGCAAGCCTTATGGCTTGCAGGTGGAAATTAACACATCCTCAATTCAAAATATCTAATCAGATGCCTAAAAATAAATCAGAGGTTTTTAGTGCCCTTGTTTTCACACTGATGTGGTGAATAAAGACACTTGAAGTTTTGGAAGTAAACAATCTTCTCAAGCTTTTGAACCTATATTCCCTTTATGTGCTCCTGGGAGAGAGGGGAATTTCCAACCAGAACCTCTAATGTTCTCATACTTTTTTCAATACCAGCCACCTGCAGCAAAGACTGCACAAGAGGAAATCATAATGCACTTTGGAGTATGCTGACTCAAGGTCTAATACTGTGATACTGTTCCATTATTTATCATGTCTACAAGCCTCAGTCATAAATCAGAGCCCACAGTGTGCTGATTACTGCACAAGTGAAGAATAAGTAGCCTGCCCCAGTGTTCCAGCCTAAGTAATGAATACATGTCTTGTGCTAGGAGAAAAATGATCTAGTTAATTCTATGGCAAATAAATAGGAAACCAAAGAAGTTTGATATTTGTCATATTGTTGGATACTTTGTTTGTACTGAACAAGACATGTTTTAGCATCTCCCTTCTCTGTAGATTGTCTGAGTTCAGAATTCGTGCTGGCAGCACAGCTTTTCCTATATTGGAGGTATAGATACTGTTACTCTCTTCAGCATATGCTCTTTTTGCAAAATTTGAGGAGCCAGGGAGGTTTTAGAAAATTTCTGGACGATATGTGTATAGATACATAAGACAGACATGAACATACAGATATGCACAGGATAATTACATAAGTTTTGTTTTCTTCTTCAGACCCACATTCCAGTAACTTTAACCTAAAAGACACACGAGACCTTTTTAAAAACATTTACAATATGAGTGACAGGACTGCAGCATCATTCTTTGCCAGTCCATGTAGTCTTTTAAAAATCTGAGTGTAAATTCTGTATTTGCCATTCCATAGATTGATTACATACAGCAACCTTTACTTGTTGACCTCACCAAAATTTATATATTTGTTAAGACAAAAATTTGATGCAAGTGAAGCACTAAATTCATTTTCAGAGGGGTGACTGAAACACTTCCCAAATCTGTGTAGCTGAAAACCATCTGTTTTTCACAAACAAGTCCATAAGCTGCCTTGCTTTCTTATCAGCCCATGCATGACTGTGTCTAAGCAAGCTGACTCTATCAAATATGGATATTTATGTCATAGCTGCATGGAAGCAGTTACTGGGGTTTTTTTTGCAATTACTACATCCAAGGTGGAAGTTTTTGGTCCTAAGAGATTATGGCAGCAATCATTTCCAGGATGAAATCGGGAAAAGTTGCTGAAGGAATTTGGTGACTTTTTTGTGATTGATCGACAGAATTACAAGGCACTCCATAGAAGTTTGAGCACCCCACCCACCAAGTCACCTAACCAGGGAAACAGAAAGCTTTCCCAAATAACCATTCCTCAGAATGAAGTACACCAGGCTTGACAATAAGTTGCTCTTACACAATGTGAAGTAGCTATTTTCTTCAAAAGACTGAAACTGCCCGATCAATTAGTTAATAAAAGGATTGACTAATATGTTTACTTTATCAGATACTATGTTGGAGAATCAACTAATGTCCTCTTTGAGAAATGGTTTCACTGTGAAGATCTCGGCACTCAACTTATACCAATAATTCAAGAGTAAGCTTTTTCTTTTGTAAATTTTAAAATATTGAAATTATATTGTAGATCTTTGTCAGTCCGTGGCTTACATCATTAGTTTGCTATTTATGCTGCATTTTACATAGACCAGTTAAAAGTTAATTGCTGCTCTATAATTTTTAATCATGTTTTGTATGCCCCAAATTCATCAAATCAGATTTTTTAAAAAATGAGAAATCAAGTATTTCGCACATCCATCCAGAACACACTTTTTTGAACCAGTAAACTTAGTAGCACACTGCTTCTAAGTGCAAAAAGAATTGAGTGAAAAATTAACACTGCTTAATGCTAGGTTATCAAGGTAAAGCACTAAACTGCTTTAAGGCTTCTTTCACACTTGCTTTAATCTAAATACTTTTAATTGATATTATTTATGCATGGACTGTGGCAAATTTGGTAGAGAGCTACTTTCTAAGAAACACGTGAATGTCATTAACTAATCAGTTAGTTAAATGGTTACTAAAGGTGAATAAGGGAAGTGTTTAGTGACAATCTCATAGGACTTTCAGACAAATCCTCTGTCAGTAAAATATGTATAGTCTTGCATACATGTGATAGTAGCTGAGGGTTTGACACATCCATTGTCAGCACAAAACTTACTGGCCAGTATTACTGCCTAGTCTTTATTAACCTACAGAACATGACTTTTTTACTTCTGTTTAAATGTTCATTATTCCAGGTTTTTCAATTCAAGGCAATATAAAACTGGAAAACCAAACCCAGGTAATGCAAATTAATTTCAGAATTAGACCAACTGCTAATTGAAGAGCAATGATTCTTACCACATAAAATAAGTACCTGTTTTTCTTTCTGATTGTGTAAATTAAAGTTGCTTTGGAAAGTAATTCCTTTCATTGCCCCAAACACAAGGAGATTCCACATGCATGATTACCAACAGCATCTTGTTTGGTCATGTGATGCCATCATACCCACCTACCAGGTAACTATAATAATGTGAAATGCGAGTATCTCTATCCTTCTGTGCCTTTCAAGTCTTACACTAACAAAATTTCACTTCTGACAGCCCATATTGAGATTTTTGCAAGTAGAATTAACACACCTTATACCTACTTGTACTCCTTTACCTATGACTATGCACTGTGATCTACTCTTGGGAAAAGCAGAGAAAAGCCAGATGATTTTAGTTCCCGTAGGATCTGATCTATTTAACATTTTATTTCCATGCTGTCTCGCCACATTTTTTATTTTGTCTATGTTTGTGGATAGTGATTGCAAATTCCACACTCCTCCAGCTGTAAGTCCATTTAAATCTCTTGGGAAGAGACATAGAACAGAGAAAGTAACTTCTAGAAATCAAAGTTATTAGTTTTGGCTTTAGGAGTCAGATCTCTCAAACATGATGGTTGCTTTCTGCATGACAACAAAAGCCCCAATTGCAAGGATATTGCAACAGCACGTTCAGTGGGAAATTCGATTTGCTGAAATCTTACAATCCTGCTGGCCCACAGCTTTACATGAGAACTCAGCATGTGCATGATCCGTTGCTATTGATTAACATAAACTATGCCCAAAGTACCATGCTTATGTCTTAATTATGTACAAAAGACCTCACTAAACAACCTTTTCTGCACCTGCAGGAACAGGCTCTGTACACTATTCTATTTGGAAGTGCTTTAGTCAAGTACAACCTGTTCAGTTCTGCTGCAAGAGCTACCTGGAAAGTCTCCATGACATTACCAGGTTCTTAACTGACACATGAAAAATCATCATAAGAGCAGCAGGAGCTGCCTGTGTAATCTCAGAAGAGCCTGAGATTCCTTCCCGGATAGTTAGCCAAATGCTAACTGGTTCAGTCAAATCCCACTGCTCAGCTAGATTTGTTCTTTTAAATCTCTGCTGTCTCACTGTGCTGGCAACTGAGGGACATCCTGCACCAACCAAGAAATGTATGTATGGCTCAGGTGCACTGCACCCTGCTATGCTACTCTTAACCAACTTGAATGCCATCCTCCAGTCACACTCAAAACTTGAATTCCATAGCTCTTGTCACAGGAGAAATTTTAGTTTCCCTTCTCTAAAAGGTTTTTTGAACCAGCTGTCCCTAATCTCCACATCAATTCCTAAATATCTTAAGATGATTATGAATTACTCTAATAGAGACAACTTCCAGTGAAACGTTATTTCCACATCTATCTCATTTCTCAGCTTGATAGTCACCATAAAAGAAGTCACTGTCTGCCATCTCAATATCAGAACAAAGCTCTTACTCAAATCCTAAAATTAGATTAAGCTGTTTTTTTTGCACGAGCATCAAAGTTCTTAAAAACAGTTAACTAAAACGTTGTTGCCAACATGAAGTTAAGAGAAAAGTCTTCTGTATGAGATAGGAACCTTAAAGCCCTTGCAATTAGAAAATGTAAAGCAGTAAGAAACACTGCCTGAAAACTTTGCTGCTGAACCAGCTTTAGGAATTGGTTCTTTGACTGACTGAGGAATGTGATTCTCGGGGAAAGGCTCCATGTTTCTTATAAATAAAATTGTGTCATCTCCAAGATCTTACTTTTATTTCTATGCACTATCAAAATCTGTTTTAGTCTGAGCATGTCACCAATATTTGGGTGTTGGTGGTTTGGTTTGTTTGGGTTTTTTTTTTGCATGGAATATATGAGGGCTAGGTAGCACAGGTACTGCCTCACTGTGTGCTCAAACACTGTTTAGCAGAGGAAATATAATTTCAGATAAAGCCTCTAGATGCTGCTGTAATAAAAAAAATACCATACCACACATAGTATCCTTGTTCAATACAGTGATTTTCAATAAGCATCCCTCACCAGGCTAAGGGTTTAAATGTCAGTAACAAATCAATAATATCAGGGCAGTGAAAAAATAACATTAAAGATTTATATTGTTAATATTTTTGCAGAAGATTAGGGCTAAAGATCAAACCTGACAATCAGAAGCTACAATATAGCCTGACACCTTCTTTCTAAAACAAGTAATTTTGAGAAACTGTTATTGATAAATCCAGTACAGAAGCTCTTTTCCTGTAATTTATCTCGCAGGTTTTCAGCCTGGGGAACAGCTCCCTTTTTTCAATTTTCAGGTTTTGTGGACAATAACTAACCCAACATCTCAGTGATATCTTATGCATGAGGAAAATACTCCACATTTTTAGTTACACAAATTTTAGTTTATAGCTCCTGTAACTGTCAGTGAGACTGACAGTGTTAAAAAAAAACAAACAAAACCAAAAACCAAACTGTTTGACTGAGATAGAAGTAAGCTGGTAATATGTTCACTCTGAAGACATACATACCGATATAAAACTAATGCTTTGGATTTATTTCCTCAGCAGGTCTCCTTTTCTTTGTTTTTTTTTTCCTGTTAAGAAATAGAGTTCAGCAACCAGCGTGACATTTATAACATATAACAAGCTACCCTAGTTGCCATGATGTTTCACTCAATACATATCTCACCGTTGTTTGACCTGGCTTATGCAGAGGATGGAGTTCTAGCCTTTTTTTTTTTTTCAGTTTCTCTTCTGAAAATCCAGAATCACTTCAATTTAACGAGTGCCAGCTGAAGCACTCTCAGGTTCCTCTCTATATAAGCCTGAATGAATGCCTCACCTTCTTAGAGAGAAATGGAATAAAATTGAGGAAAAACATCTTCAAAGAAATCCTGGATTGCAGCACACTCGTAGAGGAAAGCTGTAAATGGAATTAATCAAGCTCCAATGGCTTTTAAAAACACACCACATTTTAAAAAAGAAATTTAAAAAAAACGAAAAACAAACTATGTCTAGACCTTTTCCTGATTTATTTATGGTTTCTGACTTAGCCAATAGCAAAGAAAGTCCCTCTGAAAGCAGGGCAATCAGAATATATGAAGACACAGAAGAAGAGGGACTCAAATATCATCAGGAAAAATATAATCAGAAATATATATTGCATGCAGTCCTTACTTGAGGCATCCTCCCTGGAACTATTTTGTGTTTTATTACTAGTCTCTTTTGCTTCCATGTGCAGAAATAAAGTCTGAGAATACTCTCTCCTTTTTTTTTTATCAAAAAAGACTGAATATAATTAGCATATAGGCTATACAGGAGGCTCTCAAGATGGGTTGGTTTGGGTTACTTTGAATATTTTTTGACATGAGGAATCATAGTTATCAAAACAAGTCTTGCTGCTTTCAGTTGAATCAGCCTGGGAGCAAGATTATCCAATGTATCTATTTCATCCCACTTTTCTAGTCAAGAGGACATGAGACAGTTCAGACAGAGAAAACCTTGGTTCTAATAAACAGTGATGGCTAAATATTCTTTGCAGAAGTAACCAGAAGCTCAAAAGCTTTTCCTGCCAAGCCTGAAATAATCCAGACTTCTTTTGCAAGTAATCTGATGGGGAAAAAAACTGCAATTAAAAAAAATTTAAAAACCAAAAAAAGTTAGGTGTGTTTGAAAATGAACCTCATGAACGTTGCTGGTATAGGTAGAATTTCAGGGCTTTGTTTATCCAAATTAATCTATTTCTAATTATCAATGAAATCTTATTTGCCAAACTGGCTTTATTGTGAGTGAATGTACAGATATAGAAAAAACGGTCCCATAGTGACTGCACTAGCAAAATTTTCATTGATTTTTGGTATATCTAGGGTGATTTACAGTCTAGATTAAAAATCTAGTTAGTATAGTTAGAATACAGTGCAGTTTTATGTTTGTGATTCAGAGCAAACAAAACCTAAGGAATTGAAGGAGCATGAAAAATTTGGTATTTTCTCCAGTCAGTGGAACAGGGGTTACCATAGAGCCTAGGGCATGCTCTGTAAATGTTTTGTGGTCTCAGCAGTACTATTAAACAAGTTGTAAGGGTAAGCTTAGCACTATGAAATCGGCTTCTGTATGGTCATCCTCTGGATCTAATCCAGTGAACTTCCATAGACAGTACTTGCTGCTCAGTCTTGTGTCACTGATATATAAAAACAAGCAGATCTTTATTCTTCTATTTTTTTCTTCTTTTCAGTTAGCTGGCTAGTGGGCAATGTTAATTCAATTAAAACTACTTTAGAAAACTAAAAACATGCAGGAAGAAATTCTGTCTGTGTTTGCACTAAGGCAAATACAGGGCCATGGTTTTGAACCTAAAATAACTGTATTAATATTTGTGCCTTTCTGTTTTAAGTACATTGAAATAATTCTAAAGATATTGTGTGGGTTTTTTTTTTTTTCAAATAAGAATGCTAATTTTGAACATAAGTTTTTTTTTTCCTGTGTATCTGTTTAGAAAATTGACTATTTGATTCTCTTTACTCTCAGTCTTGAAGGACATCCAGCACACCTAAAAGGATCACTCCTTCTCTTCTAGAACTTTTCTGTTCTGAGTACTTGTATTAAAAAACCAAAAAAAAACACCCCAAAAAACCCCCAGTATATGAGCATTTAGATATTAAGGGCTCTCCAATTAAGGACTAACCAATACAGAGACTTAATCATTTTAAACTGTCTAGACCCAAAGTTGTACAGTTCCCCACGACACCATCTCTGTAACTTTCATCAACAATAAATTTTCTCCTTTTCTGTATCATCCTCATTGCTCTCTTCTTGCAAAGATGACCATATAAACATACTATTCATCTTTAGCCTGTCATATAGATCCTTTCTTGGAAGTTCCTAAAACTTCCAAGTCATGTTTGTATCTCTCCTGAAGCTGCACCTAAACTGCAAAGGACATGTAGGTGGAAGAATGAGATAGAGCCATATAATA